ATGTGTGTGTGTGTGTGTGTGTGTGTGTGTGTGTGTGTGTTTGAGGGTCCGTCTGGGTGCGTGTGTGTGTGTGTGTGTGTGTGTATGTGTGTGTGTGTGCGGGCGCGCGTGCGTTTGAGTATGTGTGTAGTTGTTTGTGTGTACATGTGTGTGTGTGTGCAAGAGTATATGTGAAAGTGTATGTGTGAGTGTGCTTGTGTTTGTGTTTGTTTGTATGTTTGTGTCTGCGTGTGTTTTTGTGCATATGCGTGAGTGTGTGTGACGTGTGAATAAACACACACTGGTGCGTTTACGCATTTGGCTGACCCAGTAAAAGTGCTTGACGTTAGGACGGTGTCCAAAAGAAAAAGCAGGGGGGAGGGGGGGGATTGGCACACAATAGGCAACAACCTCATGCCATGGACTGTAACGACTTGAGACGACACCTCTTGTTTGCTAGTCCCCGCTGTGCTGTGCTGAGTTGTGTTTGCCAACGTCCCTACAAGCCTCTTAGCACGAAACCGGGAAGTAAACACTTTCAAAGCCTCTCTGTGAGCGGGCGGGAGATCAGTTTACTTTTAAACGACATTCTCCAACTACCCAGACACACAACATTCTTGTCGCTGCATTCTGTACTTGTTGCTCTGTTGCAATTTGCAGCGAGTCAGCAGGAGAACGGACATATTTCGCCGGGGACAAATACCTCCAACAGAGACAATGACCTACATACAAAAATCACTGTCATTTAAACTTTTACCTTTATTTAGAGACCTGTAGGGGCATCCAATTATTCAACATTCTCTCTTTTATGGGAACGTAAGAATCTGCTTTCGTGCAAATTTCAGATACATGTATTTTTGTTCATCAACTAGCAACATAATCAGCATAATTCTTTGTTGCTTTAATCAGTGATCTATTTAAATGTGAAATTATACCGAAAACGACAGCGATGATGTAGGCCTAAATGATGTTAAAAGAAGTCGAAAGAAGATCATCACAAGTCCAAGCGAGGTGAGACAGGAGTCTTCAATCGGACCTGCCAGACTTTATTTGGTATCTTCTGAGAAGGACAAGAATACTTGGATTGGTTTTTTGGTTTCCTTTTAACAATGATAGTACATAACAAGATGGGCCACTTCTCTCTTTGAGCCAATTAAAAAAGTGTCCTCAAAATTTGGTGGCGCCCTCTTCACAAAAGCGCACTCTTTGCGAACAGAGTTACCCTACTTGAGTTTTTAAAAATCAAAGTGAAACTAGCAAGTTTTGGGATAAATTTCGGAAGAACGCTTTTTAAAAATGGTTACGCTGACAAAAAACCTCTTCCGGAGGAAAGGGTGATTGTTTTCTTCGTTTAATTTGACTTTAGAATGAAAGGCGAGAGGTCATTAAAGTATAAATAACCTAAAACTCTGCACTGAACGAACTCGAACTGCTGATGAACAGCAGTCGATCTGCGCACGCAAGGAGGTGCTATTCCTATTCTTCTTCTGGAAAAAACGAAAGAGAGCTTCAAAACAGACTGCAGCGCCATCTGAAGCAAAGAGCATACTTCCTGCGGACACTTTTTAGGCTGAGTGACCCATCTTGTCTTGTACTATCTTTGCTTTTAAACAGCTCTGATTATATTATGTCTTCCGCGGACAAAATCTTTTTGGGGGGTAAAACCTAGATTAAAAAGGGCAACAACAAAAAAACCACACAAAAAACGGAGCATGCAAATCTGTTTTAGAATTGACATTTAAAAGACAATAAATATAGAGATAAAAATAAAGTTCGTCACGATCAGGAAGTTATTCACACCTGTTATAAATCAAGAAGGGTTTGTTTGAAGAAACGTTCAAGTGTTCACGCCCTCAGCTTGAGATTCGACAGTTTATTGCATTGTGGGAAAAAGTAAAGGGCGCACGGTGCAACAACAGCTAACTTTTATTTCACGGACATCAACTTTCATCAAAATATAGCGATGTATTTTTTAAATATTATATTTAGTTTTAAATACCTTCCCTTTTGGCTCAAAAATGCAATATTGATATGGGTATTCTTAAATCATAAATTCAATCTTATTTATAACTCGTCTGCCTAGCTTTGGCTTCCTGATATTTTGTAGTAAAAGGATAACTATTCATGCCTTCATTAATTTTTTGTTGTTGTCTTTTTGCGATGAGAAGATCGTGTCGTCTGCTCTTAAAAGACTACAATTAATTACAGTTACGAGACTTGTATTCTAGATAGAAATGATGTGATGCGGTCCATTTCTATATCTACACGCTGACAGATAAAATCTGATCCAGTCTAGAGAATAAAGCTTTCCAAAAAAGCTAAAATTCCCTTTTCCTTTGCTGTACAAGTGGGCTAAAACAGAGCCAATGGTACATGGTATCATACTGGACTACGGAGCGGGTGGCCCTGGTTCGAATCCAAAACAAAGCGCTTTAGAACTAGGGTCATATTGTGAAGTTTTCAAAGCTCTAAGATCCCTTTTGGATCGATCCTATTGGAGAGAGACGTTAAATTTGGAGGTCCTACCTCAGTCTTAAATAACCTAAAAGTATTGGTAGGGGTTTTTACTGCCACAAAAGCAGTATATTCGAAAACAG